TGTGAACTGAATCAAATCTCAAGCCTGACCAGATTTATGTTCGAGTATTTATGCTCTCAGCTTCACCTGCAGGTAGTTTTGTTTTATCGAAGTGGATTTTATTTCAGTAATTTGATAATGTCCTCCATGACTCAATGAACCTTTTGCCTGATCATTTTTATTGCTTCACAGTTAAATCATATTTCAAACATTCCTGACATGAGCGAGGTAGTGACGTACGATTTATGGGAGTGAAAAGTTCTGCTTGTGCGATCTAATCATTTAGTGCTCACACAAGACGCAGCAGCAGAAAATGTCATCATTTTTACATTTTCTGAATCAAATACCGATTCTTCCAAAAAGAAAAGCTTAATTTTAATTCCACTTAATTTCTTACAGTAAATTAAAAACTACACACAGCTGAAAACCTTTTAAAACTATATAAACAGATTTTAAACTACAAATGTTGAAATCAGAATCGCCTCCACCTGCAGAGGGCGCCATTTTGATTCTTTCTCAGAGGAGTTGAAAATTAAAATGACTGAGAACCATGACCAACTTAGACATTTTTAAACAATAAAAAGGCATAACTGTCATTTACTCAATAATTAATAACTTTATTTCTGTTACTTGTTTACTTTTGCTTCTAATAGTAAAATAACACTAAAACATTTTTCTAAAATTTTCTGCTGATGGTTTGTTTGAAGACTTCTGTCCATGTTTTTATTTTGGTTGTTTGTTGAAACTTTTCTATTCTTAATAAAGTTTAAGAAGTGCAATGATTTTTTATTATTTCAGACATCTTTACTGCTTCACAGTTAAATCATATTTCAGTCGTTTGTCATGAGCGAGGTAGAGGGACAGTTTATGGAAGTGGCAACAAACTCTTAACATTCAGCAGCATGCTTCAGTCAGAAGCCTCTTCTGTTTTGTTGTAACACTGACTGCTACACATGATCTTCTCATCATCAACAATGACTCTCTGCAGATACTTTGAGCTGAAATATTATTTATCCCAGAGGGAAATTGAAAGCATTTTTAACTGAATTGACTTTGTTTCATTCATTGAGTCATGTCTGTATAAACATAAAGTATATAAACAAAGGCGAGTGAATAAATCTGAACTAGTCTCTATAAGAACAGCTACCTGTTGGCATCTGGCTCATCCATCAACACCAGCAGCTGAATTTATTTTATCACTAAAAACTTCCCCCACTTTGTGACAGGCCATTAATAATAGCTCACACTAAATATTAACGTTTTTTGTTCTACATGCCCTAGATTTACTCAAACATTTGTGTAAGTGTTCGCTGCAGCTCAGCAGGGGACTAAAAAAAGGGAAAACAAGTCAGGATCTCCTGACACCTGATAAATAACGTGCACTGAAATATTTTCTGTAAGGGTTTAATAATTTGAATTTTCCTGTCACTAGTCTCTTCATGTTTTAGAAGCAGTTTTACTGCAAAGGTGGGAAAAACGTCAACAGCATGCTGTGAATGAGATCATGATTTATACATCAAAACACTGATTATTAATCTTCTCTAATTGGACCAAAATCCAGCTCACTTTCCTCGTTTCTTTGTCACAATCTGGTCCAGTTTTTATTTCTTCTTTGCTCTTAGATTCTCCATCTCCACAGAGAAGCTGACAATGACTGAATAATTAAGGAGTCGACTTCAGATCCGTCTCATCCCTCCACTCCTCTCAGCTTCCTGCCCAGTCGTTTGCTGCTTATTACAGAGTCTCTCTGTCAACCTTGTCCCATCTAATTCTCACCCAATTACAATCTAAATGAACCACAGGCCTGCTTAACTTGCTTTGCCTCTTGCCATTGTTTAATTTGTGACGGTAACAAACTCCGATTAGGCCTCTGCAAAGGTTCATAAATTAAGCACTCAAGACCAAATTAATCTCCATTCCCTGGGAAGACAAATGAGGAATATTCAATTTTTCCACATGGATCCCACTGAAAAGAATAACACGAGGAGTAAATAATATAAAAATGACAAGAAGTGACCTTTAAACCGCGAGCTAACCTTTATGCACAATCTCTGCAACACAGAAAGTTTCGACTAGAAATGGGGCGAGTTGATTAATGTCACCGTCCGACTGTGAGCCAGACATAAACACGCTGCTAACAACTCAACGCATGGACAGAAACACGGAACGTCATTTCTACGTTATGATAACTGGAACTTTTTCATTTCTGTGATTTTGTTTTCTCTCCAGTTTCTGCATCTATTTGTACCTTCTAGTGTAAAGAAATGTGGTTTTATTTCTAACTACTTTGGTTGATAAGTGCTAATTATGGGTCATATTTAAAAAAAAAAAAAAAAAAGAGTTGAGAATTTTATGAGTATTTCTCCTCAGATAAATAAAATAGGTGGGAAAGGGAATCATGCTTATTCATATTTTTTATTTTTTTAATAAAAATCTAGAGATCTTTTTTATTTAAAGGACTGGCACAGTAAATTTTTTCTGACTTTGGGGAACAAGTTGAATTCCTGCTTTTAGTTTTTCACACCAAGTCTAAGCCGAGTTTCAACTCCCAGAGGAACAAAAACACGTTTATTTTCATTTATTTTCATTTCTCAAAGTGTTTCGTCCACATTAATATTCAAGGCTCTTACAATGAATTTAATTTGGTTCATAAAGCCACTGATGATGGTTGACAAACTTTAATTTGTTTCTCCATTATCGGATTGAGTAACGTACATTAAGTTGATTGACAGCGCTAAGCCCCGCCTCCTGCCTCTGACTGCTTGTTTCTGGCCAATCAGAGCCAGTGATTCATTTTTGCAATAACAGAACCGTGAGGAAGAGGAAGAGTGCAACTTGTTTCTGACTCCTATTAAACTGACAGTTTTAACAAATATGTAAAAATATATACAGCTCTGTAAAAAATAAGAGACCACTTAAAATGATCAGTTCCTCTGATTTTACTTATTATCGGTATGTTTAAGTAAAATGAACATTGCTCTTTTATTCCATGATCTACTGACAACCTGTCTCTGAAATTTCAAACAAAATTTAGTATTTATCTGCAGAAAATGAGAAAAAATCTCAAATAAGAAAATAATTTAATATTAATTTAGAAACAACAACACTAATGTTTTACCTCAGGAAGCGTTCAGAATCCAGTATTTGCTGGAGTAACCAGGAGGTTTCCAACAGGGTTCATTTTAAGTGATTTATATGTGAGTAACTTCCTCTCCAGTCACTTTACAAGGTTTCCATACATAAATATATTCAAAATAATGCCATTTTATATCAAAGGGAACTTAAAACTGAAAATTGGTAAAATTCAGTGGGAGGATAACCAGACTATGATCAAAACAGCACAGAAATGATTAAAATATAAAAATAAACTTCCTCCGTACAGGAAGACCAAAATCTGGCGATAGCTGTTGCAGTGCAGAGACCGCTCCGTCTGTCCTGAACGATCCAACCTTGTAAAATGTTTTAAGATTAAGTGCCGTCCTCTTGGCAAACGGAGGTCGTTCAATACATCAGGCACCAGTCACTGTGCAGCAACGATCCTGTTAAAAACCGTTTCAGTGTTTCATCAACAGTATAGAAATGAAAGCTTAGATTTTCTGGTCATTTCTCAGAATAAGATTAGAAATCTGATGGAAACTGGACAGATTTTTAGGCTTTTTTGTCACTTTTTAAACCATCAGCACCAATAAATGTGGCTGACGTCGAGCTGACTGGCTACTCAGAGTAACGACTGAGATGATGACGGGCATGAATCACTGAAGCCGACGGCAGGAAAAAACTCAGAGAAACATCATTTTCCATGTCTGACAGGGACAAACAAACATCTGACAGCAAAATAATGAGTTACATGTCAGAGAGGGAGTCACTAAAAATGAGCTTAAGATGCAGAAACACAAAATATCTGCTCTAGTCTCCAGTGGAAATATATTAGTACACTTAAAATAAGACAAAAATAATTCACAGGTAACTTTTCAGCAAGACATCAAAGCTAATTAAAAGTAAATTATTCCTTAATAGTAATGATAGTTATTTCACTACAACATGCAGAAAACTTATAATAAGTTAAATAATCCACCAATAGAACAAGAACTTTTTCATCAGTATAGAGGAATAATTTATTTAAAATAAACTATATCTGCTGAAAAGTTACTTGTGACTTAGTTTCTTTGAATTATGAAAAAACTAAGACGGGGTGTCCAAACTTTTTATCACATGGATCAAAATCAGCCCATCATTTACATTCACAGACCAAGAAACTAAACAACCAAGATCAAGCAAATATTCCTCCAAGTTTATTTAGTTTTTATTTTAAGTTATTTTTATTATAGATTCAAAATGTAAAATGGATTTTGTTGTATCAAAACAGCTTCCATAACAGTTTCCATGTTATTTTGGACTCGACTGAACATTTCCAGTTATAAGAGCAGAATTTGGGTCACTTTCTCCCAAAATGTTTGCTAAATTTAGTCAAGTTTCGTAGATGAAATAAAAGCTGGTTTACGTGCAGCAGAGTCGGCTTTTCAGCAAAGTGGACAGACGAGGTTCTAATTATTATGAAAGCTGGGTTATGATCTGTGAATGTGAAAAACATTAGTATCATTCTTGAACTGCAGCTACAGGCCACAAAAACACAGTCCAAGTGCAACAAATGGCCCGCGGGCCACACTTTGGACACCCCTGAACTAAGACATCTGCACTAGAAACTAGACTAAATGTTCTTGGGTTTTTGCAGAGGGTTTGTGTAAAGAGCTCAATAGACTTCACTGTGGAGCAAAGTTACATCAGAAACCATTTCCAATAAATAAATCTCAGGGCGCCGGAGCAACAAGCGGGATTTCTCATGTTTTTCAGAGATATTTCATTATTAAAAGCCCATTTTATCAGAGCTATTTAGAGCAGAATTACTTTCTCGCTGCGTTTCCCAGTAATCAGAGGACAGAAGCACAGCAGAAGAAAAACCATATTGTGACGGCATATTCTGAAAAACGCTGTTTTGGTTTGAACACTGTAAGCGTACTCACATTGATCGATGCTCCCGTCTGCTTTCTCCTTCTCCTGCAAACAGAGAACACACACAGGATTGGTTATTACACGAGCTCAGAGGAGCGAGGGCAGCACAGCAGCCGCCTCACTGCCACTTTCCACACGTTACTCTGCCTTTTCCTCTCCTCTGAAACAAACGGCACAAAGCAAGGGCAAACCGAGGAGGAGTAAAACAAAACGCTGGTGGGTGACAGCAGCAAAAACTCAATCACTAATTGGAAATACAAGTTGTCAACATATTGTTCAGGAATCTTTATGTCAAACCGGATGAGCGGCGCGTCATTCAGACATCATGTTTCCAGACGGTGGCTTGTCTGTCATTCATGGACGTTTAAAGATTTAAACCATTTTTTGGATGATGGAAGTTTTTTCTGCGCTGGTGTTTCAGTTTATCTGAGACCAAAGAGCAGAAAGGCGCATGCGGGTGCTGGTTCAGCAGATTACCTGCAAAAATACTCCTGAAGGTAAATGTAACTAGTTACTACATAGAATATGTCTGTAATATTTTAGCATACGAGAGACACTTTGATGCTTATTAGTGACCAATCAGTTGAGCTTCTTTTAGGATCTGAACAAACGTTTCATCTGGAGACGTTCCTCATTAGCATATGCAGGGAAAACAAGCCATCGACATGATATTTGAAAATAGAACGGTGCGCTCTGTCAGAGCATCGCCATCCAGAACAATCCGATACCTGGCAGCATTTGAAGTGCAGTGACATTTTGCGTTCTTGTCCCTCAGCATGGATGCCAGCGGTAATGAGCCTCACTGATAAAAGCAGTGTGTGTGTGTGTGTGTGTGTGTGTGTGTGTGTGTGTGTGTGTGTGTGTGTGTGTGTGTGTGTGTGTGTGTGTGTGTGTGTCTGACGTCCAACCCCAGGAGACCTGGACTCCCACAGGGAACGCAGCGGTTGTCAAACCTTCTGCATCTCCATTCCTCTTCCCTCGCCGCCGATGCCATCTGTCTATCTTAATTGCAGACATTCTTCCTCATGATGCCCAGATAAAACTGAGCGGTTTGATCAATTGATTAAAGATTTAAATCAAGCACAGGGGTGACAGCACGGCTCTGAGCTCCTTTCTAAAAATACAGTTTGCTCTGACAAACAAAAGCTGTTTTTGTCACTTTATTTTACACATTTAGACTTTAGCTGCTCACATGTAATTAGCAGTAACCTGATTTTCTTGCTGCTGCTGCTGCTGCTGCTTTCTGTGCTTGGATGAGTTTATGGCTCCCATCTGATTTAATCTGAGCAAATAGGACAAATCAGCAGGGTTTAAGGGAAAAAGGAGCCAGCTCTTTCTCCTGGAAATAGAGGTTGGCAGGTGTATTTTTAAATACAACTTTTGTTTTCCATCAAGTAAAGAAGTGTTGCAGTCCTGACAGATGCAGAGTGAATAATTGGGAGTAGAGAAGATTCGGATCTTTTAACCTTTGTTGCCTCAGGCTGGCATCTTGACTTCAGGCGAAACCGCAGACAGGAATTAGAGGAATACGTTAAATGAGGGCAACATCTTTATCATAATGTAGGCCAGGGGTGTCCAAAGTGAGGCACGGGGGCCATTTGTGGGCCTTGGAATGATTTTGTGTGGCCCCAAACTGCAATTCAAAAATTATACAAATTTGGCCCGTATGCAGAGGGAAACTGTTAATTTGTAATCAGGGTAAAAAAATGTTACCAACATACTTTTTTTACAGAGGAAAATGCAAAGTATTCATCTCTTTATAAGCAAGTTTTAAGAAAAGGTAAAAATGTTTATCCAGAGACACTGCTGCACCCAAATCAGCTTTTATTAAATTTGACTAAATATAGCAGGCATTTCCTGTTATTACTGAAAATAAATGTATTCAATGGAGTTCAAAAGAAGCTGAAAACCAGATGCTTTTCTCCTAAAACATGTAAAATCTGCTGCAGCGTTTCAGCGCCACAGCAGAAAAAACACCAGAACATTTCAAACAAAAAGGAAATCTGAAATGTTGAGTTCTCGATTCTTTCTGGAAAAAAAAATAAAAAATGTTCTAGAAAAAAAATTATATATTGATAGAAATGTTATACAAAAAAGAACTTGGAAGTTTCTGAATTTCAAATGTCGGGGAAAAAAAGAAAAAAAGAAAAAAGAAAGTATTTCTAGAGAATTTCTGAGTTTTTGGTGGAAATTTTCTCCTGTTTTGGCCCCAACAGACCATCGTAAAAATCCCTCTCAGGTTTTGTATCTACTGTAAATATCAGGCCACTTTATGGGATTGATTTTAGGTTTTGTGCAGAAACTAATCACTAAAAGTGGCATTTAAAATGTCAAAATGCATCTATGAAAATCTGCTGTGGATGGATGTTACATGTGGCGACAACTGGAATTCAAAATGACGTTCATAAAAATACTGAATTGCACTTTTATCAATATGGTAATCTATAAATGATCAGGAAATGGACACACATCCCATCACATCCTGGTTTATGCAGATTTTTATAACCAGGCACCAAAGTGATGAAATCAGATTTACTGTAACTTAATTTACAACATTTGGCAGTTTTAATAAAAAGTGTTGCGTTGATTCGACTCGTATTCTGCTTCACACTGAGGAGAGTTTGCAAACACAAACCCAATAAGATGCTGGAGCTTCTAGATAAAAAATACCAGAAGCAAATCTCTGAGCATCCCTTTAAATCCCCCATGCAGCAATAATCTGGCATCGCCACGGAGACTGACATTTTGTGCAAAAGCAATTTGAAAAACAATTCAGACTGTAAAGTAAATATTGTTCTGACTGGTAAATCCAAGGCGACACAGGCAGCTTTCATTAAAGATTCACGTTTCGACGTGTGTATAAATATATTCCTCTCATGTTTTATGTTTATCAGTTACGGAGGAGTTTCAATGCACTTTATAATCTGAGATTAAGACGCAACAATAACCCCAGAAAAACAGTAAGAACAAAAGGGGAATCATTGTTTTCACAGCATTAATGAGCTACTTCAACTTAATATCTTACAATGCGTCTAATCTTCCTTCATTTTTTTGAAAACTTGGAAATATCCAGCAGCTTTTCCTGTTTCTTCTGTGACCTTAAAAAACAGCAAAGAAGCATTTCATATTGTTCGTTTATCTAAATCCTGAATTAAGTGGATTTTATTTTTGAACACACACCAAGGTTGAGGTTCAAACAAAACAGCAGCAAATAAACTAGAACAAAATATCAGATCTATGATCAATATATCTATAAGAGCCTTTAGTCTCATGTGAGAAGAGGAAAACAAACAAATAGGCGTAAAATGACAATAATTTAAACTACAGCGTTATGATGACTGACCGTAGAGTTACATCCAACAAAAAAAGAGAAATGTAATTATTAGCTCATGGCGGAAGTTTGATTATTGTATTTTAATATCAATAGATCCAAATACCTGACGAGAGTCTGAGAAAAAGAAAACAGTCACATCTGCGTGGATGAGGCTGCAGAGACTCCAGGCATGTTTGATTAAAACACCAAACCAGGTTTTACCCGTTTCTTTCCTCTCAAATGACTCATTTCCACGCAGATCTTTACTTTATTAACTAACATTTAAGCTGCAGAAAGTGCTATCATTATTTTTTGTCTCTTGTTGTTAAATCAGCTTCATAAACTTTAATTTCTGAGTTAAAACCAAAACAATTTTCTTGTCAACTTAAATTGAATTTTCAAGGCAGCAGGTGGAATTAAATCACCTTCAAATGTTTTACAGTGTGTAGCAGGTCAATAATGCAGCTTTAATAAAATCTCCTTGACACTGAAAGGAGGATGAAACTCTCATAAGTTGCAAACAAAAAGAATCGCTGTGATCTGCGGATAGTTTGTGTAAAATCTTTACCATTTTATACAAATTACCTTGATGCAAAAAAGCAACTTCCCATTTGCTACAAGCAAGAATTTAAGGTCAAATCTGGGCAGATTATCATGAATGCATTCAGGTTTGAATAAGTCGTGACATTTTTTCCTGAATCAGTGAAAGGCTGGAGTCTGTTAGGGCTGCAGACGACCAAATGAGTAAAACTGAAGGCTTTCTTATGCAGATAGCTCTGCCCCAATTAACTGGGAACACTTTAGCTTTCCTCTGCACTTAATGCATTTTCATAACACTTTGAAGAAGTGGAGGATTTCAACGTGGCGTATATTTGACTAAAAGATTATAATATTTTTGTGGAGTGGTGTTTATTTAAGGGCAGAGTGGTTATGAGATTTGCAGAAACCATAAAGAAACACTAAATGTGCTCATTGGATTAAAAGCTTATGAGTAAGAGGGTTATGTGTAAAACAAACAGGGACAAACTGCATAAACAGAAATGAAAAGAATGGAAATTGGCCCCTGCCTGTGATGGCAGATCCTCGTGTTTTCGTTTTTTAAATGTTTTCATATTTTCTCCTCTGCATTTACATTTTGATTACGGCCAGAAACTGTAAAGGTTTGGTTTTTATTCTGCAGTCGTTTCCTCACAGTCCTTCTGATCCAACATTCATTCAAACTGAAGAAAAACTTTAACATTAGTTATCTTGCACATTCTTAGACTTTTTTTTCTGTTGTGTGTTTTGAGATGTGTTGCCTTTAAGAATATGATCATTTTATCAGGTTTTCATAAAGCATAGGGGCCATGGTTTGTTAAACTTTAATTAATTTTAACAGCAGTAACTATGTAAAATGAAATTATTGACCAATCAAAGAAATGGAGTGGCCAGTCCAGGAACTTTGCTTGCAATGTTGACACCCAATGAAACTTTATTTTTTTTATTCTGAAAGGCGGTGAGGATGCTTACCATGGAGTGCGACTCCTGGTGGGAGGTGTGGGACTTGGCGGCTGCATCCGTGCCGCCTCGTCGGCTGCTCCTGTGACCTTCGGCTGTCCAGCATCCCAACGTTCCCAGCAGAACCACCACAACCCAAACACCCAGGAGGCCCATTTTATCTGGAGAAAAACACGAGAAAAAGCCCAAAACAACAATAAATACATTGAACAACTCTGCTGCACATAAAAAGATCCAAGATTTCCATAAACCGACTGCATGTTATTGTTGCACATGTGCACAACGCTGGAGGGCAAAAAGACGATTCTTTTCCTTTCTATCCATCGCGGTGCTGCTGCAGTAAAACGTTAAAATGAAACCTGGAGATGAAGCTGTTATTAAAGTAGTGTAGAGGCAAAGGGGAAAATAATGCATTACAACCATTGCAGAACTTAAAATCACTGACATCAGGATTCAACATCAAGAAACAAACATTCAGTCTGTTACGGTTTCATGTTTTTAGGCTTGATGTTTATTTTGCGGTTATTTATAAGTGATTTGTGTGGTAGATTAGCTAGCGCTGCTAGTAGCTAAGCTAGCACAGCAGTTAGATTAGCTAATTTAAACACCTGCTCTACTGATCTGTCAGAGTTGATGTTTAGGTCGCCTTTATTTTTTAACACACTGAATTCTGCAGCACATCTACATGTTATGGTTGTCATAGTCAAGCTAGAATAACTGAGCTACTTCCCTCTCCTTCACCATTTTCTTTCTTTCTTAACACTTTTTCCTGACCTTGTTATCTAGTTGTAGTGTTGATAATTAGCAGCAAAGCACTGTGTCTATTTTACTTTTATATATCAGGCTTACATTTCAGATTTAGCGCGTTATGTTGATAACTTGCTGGGAGCGGGATCTTGTGACTTCACGTTGCAACGGATCCATAAGTAGCACCTTGACACTCATCTGTTTTTGACCATGATGTCATCTCTTTAAGTAGATTTAAACATTGTTTGAAAATTGTGTCCAATTGGTTTTTATTTGTAACTTTGACAGTGTTTCATCACATTTTAGCTCCGAGTTTAATCCGTTTTGAAAGGAAACGCTTTTTGATGACTTTATTTAGTTGGCAGTGAATTGGTTTGCCTCTGAGGAGATTAAAAAAGATCAGAGGAAATTCAGATCACTGGCTTTGTGATTTTGACAGCAGTCTAATGGACATGAGTATGAGAGCAAAATTAGGCTAGCAGTTACTACTGCTCGTTTCTTGAACAAATATATTCATACTGTGCCTTATAACTGTTTTGCATTCCAACATTTCCTCCTGATTTACAGATACAGACTATGCACAAATGTATCCAGGTAAAATATGAAGGACTTACTGAGACTATAGAGTACAACCAGAGGCTTGTGTGCAGACAGACTGCATAATGAAGCCGTGTAAACATCAAAGGCCGAATTGATGAAGGATAATTATCTGTATTACAAATGAACATAGAAAATCTTTTGATGTCAACAAAGAAGCAACACTTTGATGAGTCAAAAAAATAAAAATAAAAGAGACGTGATGGCCTGGGAGCTAAAAGTATAAACTCAATTTTCACGCCTTCTCATTGACACACTTCCAGGTTTAAAAACGGGATTTCACCTGAAACAGACACGCTTCCCATAGTTAACGCTGCTTTGCATTTATGTTGCATTATTGAGTTTTCCATATCACAGAAAAATCACAACATTTAATATCAGAGAGAACTCATCGTTGCAGCAGCTCATTGCAAAACTAAATCTTACCAAGTAATTTTGGCTCAGTTTCTAGTGAAAGTATCTTAGTGCCCTTGAAATAAGACAAAACTAACATAAAAGTAACTTTTCAGGAAGATATATGAGCTTGTTTTAAGTCAATAATTCCTTAATATTGATGAAAAAGTTCTGGTTCCATTGACAGATTATTTTTCTCATGGGAAAAATGCCTTGTTTTAAGTAAAATAATCTGCCAATAGAAATAGAACTTCATCAAAATTAAGGAATCATTTACTTGAAACAAGTACCTATATCTTGCTTAAAGATTACTTATAAGTTAGTTTTGTCTTATTTTAAGTGTACTAAGATATTTGCTCTAGAACAGTAGTCCCCAACCCCCGGTCC